TTTTTTTTTTTTTTTTTTTTTTTTTTTGCCTCGTAGAATCCAATTTCGGGGTTTCCGCTTGCCATAAATCAATTCTACTTTTCTATAAAGATTGTTAGGTGATACACATCAAAAGTGGATCTGCAGGTTATGAGATTCGAGCGTGTGACTACTTGTTGTTGTTGCTAAATCCTATTCTCACATCCCTTTTTAAAACTCTTCTTGTTCCCCGTTGTTGTTTTTGAATGTTGGTGCTAACATTTGCGTTTTTACATTGATGCGTTTCAGAAAATAGAAAAGTTGAAAGCAACGCTGCATTTGGCAGATATGAACGCCTTCAAAAGTACCCATACAATATTCGTTGATGACGATGCTCAAGGTATCAGTTAGATATCATCTTTGATGCAAAAGAGTTACTTGTGACTGGATCTCATGAATGAGTACTACGATGTATTTTTGCCTAAAAAATTGATTTTTGCAAGTGAAGCTACGAAATAGGTGGTTGCAGAGCAGTTGCAGGGGATTGCTGTAATATTGAACAAATTGAAAATTATGAAAAGACTTTATGCATTAGAAGAAAAAAGAATTTTTTTTTGATGAAAATTGCAGTAGAAGTAATTTCTGCTTATTGTACAGAAAATTAAGCTTAATTTGTTGAAAGTTTTTCAATTTAGCCAAGAATTTTGACCTCGTTAAATATTTCGATACAAAAGAGGAATTGCTGGATAGGACTTACAACCGACCGTCTGTTTCTACGTTAGGCAGCGAAACTATTTTGACTAAAGTTTCAAAAGCTAATGTTATGGTAAGCATTGTTCTTGGGAAAAAACGTCTTCAACATGTTAAAAACATACTTTCTCTCCAGGCTATTAGTTTTGATGTGAATTAAATGTCGGTTTTAATGCACAAATCTCATTTGAAATTAAAAGATGCGTTTCTTGAACTGTTGAATTTTGGTGCGACTGCTGTTTAGATGGGAGTTTAAGGGTATTTAACCTTGGCTAAATAAGTTTTTCAAAGGAAGTTGAGCAAGAACGTCATTTTCGTTACAACGAGTTACTAAAACGAATGGAAAGGGCTATGGAACTGAAAGTGGCAGTAGAAAAATTGGAAGTCAGGAAGAATATTGCGGAGAGCAAAGGAAAACAGTTGAAGCCGAAAAAAGTGGTTGTTTACGGTTATTATGTCAAACTTTCAAGTATTTTAGTTGGTATAAAGTAGCAATCTTCTTTTCTTAGATAGCTAAGGGAGAACCCATGAAGGCGCGCGTTTTTGAATGGGTTTACGAACGTAAAAAGTGAGACTCTGTTATGTATGGATTTTCGATACGGAAGAGGTGGCTATAGATAATATATGTTGCAATGAACTCTTCTCCGGGAATGAATTCGTTCTTTTACGAATAACTACTGTGAGGGTGTGGCGCGAAGGTTGCGCGTACAGATTCTTGAATAACTGATTCGACGCACTACGTTTTTTGAATATACTTCCGTTGTGGGTCTTTCGTGTATATGTATTTATTAAGATTTTCAGCAGTGTTGCAATAGGAAGGTTTTCATCAGATATGTTTATTTCTGGCTCTCCGAACAGTAACTACACTTATACTTTCTTTACAGATATACTACTGTTGTACTATTTCTTTTTCAATGTAACTGTGGTTTTTAAACCGAACTGTGTCTGGTGACGGTTTAAATTTTGGATTGAAGTTTTGGAAAGGGCAGGGGTTTTGATTACAAATTTAAATAAATGAAATGGCTTTCACGTACGCATCTCATTTCTCAGGTTTGTTTGAAATTGTTCGGGTTCTATTATTGGAAGCCACAGTTGTTGCAAAGTACTTGTGCCATTCTTCCTATTTTTGCCTCTCTTGTTGCTTTGTATGCATGCTCTGGTTTGCAGACAACGATATATCACAACAGTATCTCTATGTTCAATGTTCATTGTTAATTTTTCGCTTTGTTTCGAATGTTTTGACTGCAGTAGCCAGAACAACCACTACGGGTCCCAACACACTGCTGGAGGGTGCGTATATTGGATGAAAACGGCTTTTTTTAATGGTTTTATTCCTCATAATTCTTTGTTTTGATTATGGTGTATATGAAGAGTTTAAAATTAAATTTGTTTAGTATTACTGGGGAACTGTTTGTAACAACTATATCTCTCAGTTTTTTCTCATTTTTGAACTGGTGAACTACTAGCTTCATTAAAGAGACATTCTGCAACAAAAAATTTGCCTCAACGGCACTGAAAAAAACTTTGGTTACGGGAGGCGCTGTTTGCTTCTAGAAAGCTGTTTCTTTAAATGAATATCACAATGTAAGACCTGAGGC